ATGGGCATTTGTGAAACTGTCATATCTCTCAGATACTTAAAAAAAGTTTCTATTGATTTTTTTTTCTTAGCGAGAGAGGAAGGGAGAGGAAGAGAGAGAAACATCCATCTGCCGCCGCCTGCACGCCCCCTACTGGGGATGGAGTCTGCAGCCTGGGCATGTGCCCTGACCAGGAATTGAACTACTGACTTTTTGGTGCGCAGAACGAGCCACACCGGCCAGACTCTTAGAAACTTTTAAAGCACAACATTGATTGTCGTTTTTAGAAAAAAACAAGTGACAGAGATTTGCATCAGCTCAGTCCCTAACAGGTTGTAGTGCAGGCAGCGAACGAATTCGTGCACCAGACCTCTAGTTGCTAGATAAAAACCTACTTTTTGATTGGGATTGCATTGAGTCTATAGATCAATATGGAGAGAATGAACATCTTAAAAATATTGTCTTACAAAACATAGAGTAATATATCTCCATTAATTTAGGTTATTCTTCATTTATTCTGTGGTGTTTTGTTATTTACATTGTAGAGATCTTGTGCATCTTTCATTAAATTTATTCCTACATTATCTTTCCACAGAGAAAAGGATTAGACATGTTATTAACTCTATTTCCCTTCTTGGGCAAATCACTTAACTTCTGAGCTTCCATTTCTTTTTTTTAAATATTTTTTTATTGATTTCAGAGAGGAAGGGAGAGGGAGGGAGAGAGTGATAGAAACAGCAGTGATGAGAGAGAATCATTGACTGGCTGCCTCTTGTATGCTCCCCACTGGGGATGGAGCCTGAAACTTGGGCATGTACTCTGACTGGGAATTGAAGAGGGACCTCCTGGTTCATGGGTCAATGCTCAACCACTGAGCCACACCAGCCAGGCCTGGGCTTCCATTTCTTTCTTTTTTCTTTTTTTAAAATATATTTTATTGACTCCTGCACGCTCCCGACTGGGGATGTGCCTGCAACCAAGGTACATGCCCTTGACCAGAATTGAACCTGGGACCCTTCAGTTCGCAGGCCGACACTCTATCCACCAAGCCAAACTGGTCAGGGCTCCATTTCTTATTATAAAATGGGGTTAATAAATAGTACCTTGTTCTATGTGTTTAATTAAGTATTATTAGCAGTTTTTCCTGTCTTTTTGGTGGTCTTTTTAAAAATATATTTTTATTGATTTCAGAGAGGAAGAGAAAGATAGAAACATCAATAATGAGAGAGAATCATTGATCGGCCACCACCTCCACGCCCCCTACTGGAGATCAAGCCCGCAACCTGGGCATGTGCCCTTGACCAAAATTGATCGGGGGACCCTTCAGTCCGCAGGCAGACGCTCTATCCACTGAACCAAACCAGCTAGGGCTTTTTGGTGGTTTTTAAATTCGAGAGGAAAAACTAGAGTTATTGACTTTAAATCGTCTAGGTTGTTTTCCTCTAGGACAAATATTATTTGTTGATTTCAGTCAGATTTTCAAGAATTGCCAGTCAGAATTTCAGAACTAATTTACTATTGAAAATAGAATAATATTGGGAGGTTCTTATTCCAACTACGTCTTTTTAAATATCTTAATCTAGTTCGGAATGGTAGTAATTTATTGTAAAAGTGGCCATGTTCTTATTCACTATCTTTATTCTTGTAGGTCATTTTGAGTCACTGGACCTTGCAGAATATGCTAAGAAGCAGCCATGGTGGCGCAAGCTGTTTGGGCAGGAAACTGGGCCCTCAGCTGAAAAATACAGTGTTGCAACCCAGCTGTTAATCGGAGGTGTTACTGGATGGTGAGTGATGTGAAAGGTGGCCGGTGTCTTTGTTTGCATGTTTTAATATCGTGGTGATGGGAATCACCTCCTTTAGCCAATAAAAGCACATTGGCTTCGCCGAAACCGGTTTGGCTCAGTGGATGGAGCGTCGGCCTGCGGACTGAAGGGTCCCAGGTTCGATTCCGGTCAGGGGCATGTACCTTGGTTGCGGGCACATCCCCAGTGGGGAGTGTGCGGGAGGCAGCTGGTCGATGTTTCTCTCTCATCGATGTTTCTAACTCTCTCTCTCTCTCTCCTTTCCTCTCTGTAAAAACTCAATAAAATATATTTAAAAAAAAAAAAAAGCACATTGGCTTCTGTGAAATCGATCACTTAATGTGTAGCATTTGTCAAAACATGTTAAAGTGTGATTTAATGGTTACACAAAGTATTTACTACATGCCATATAATCATTTCCTTCTCACAACTCTGAAATCAGTACTGTTATTATTTATCCTCATGTCCCCCAGTTTTAGTGAGAAGTAATTGACATATGTCACTATATCAGTTTAAGGTGTATAGCATGATGCCTTGATTTACATATATTGTGAAATGATTACCACAGTAGGTTTGGTTAACATCCATTATTTTATATAGATACAATAAAAAAGAAGAAAAAGTCTCCTTGTGATGAGAACTCTTAGGATTGGCTCTCTTAACCCCTTCCCCGGCAGAAACGTGTATACTCGTTTTCACAAAATGTTCTTTTTCAGTCGTCGACGAGTATACTAAGAAAATATGGTAAAAAAATATGGTTTATAGGAAGACGAGTTACAAACTGTTTTCATAACCAGCATCAAAAATACTATATAGAACCAAAATAAAAAAATTAGTCTGAAAAAGAAACGTTTTTAACAAAAAAATTGTTGGGGAAGGGGTTAATAACTCTCCTATTTATCAAACAGCGGTGTTAACTCTAGTCATCATGTACTTTCCATCCCTGGTACTTATTTGTCTTATAACTACAAGTTAGTATATTTGGACCGCCTTCTTCCAATTCCCCACCCCTGCTCTCTATCTTTTTTCTTTCTTTTTTTTTTTGTTAATCCTCACCCCAGGATATTTTTCCCCCATTGATTTTTTTTTTCTTTTCTAAAAAATATTTTTATATTGGGGGGGATGAGGACACATTTGTAATACCTTAACTAATAATAAAATATTTTTATTGATTTCAGAGAGGAAAGGTGAGGGAGATAGAGATAGAAGCATCAATGATGAGAGGGAATCATTGATCGGCTGCCTCCTGCACGTTGGACCGAGCCCGCAACTGAGGCATGTGCTCCCGACCATAATTGAACCTGGGACCCTTCGGTCTGCAGGCCGACGTTCTATCCACTGAGCCAAACTGGCTAGGGCTCCTGCATTGATTTTTTAGAGAGAGTGGAAGGGAGGGGGAGAAACAGAGAGAAACGTTGATGTGAGACACATTGATTGGCTGCCTCCCCCATGTGCCCTGACTGGGGCAGGGATCGAGCCTGCAACCCAGGTACGTGCCCTCGACTGAAATCGAACCCACGGCCCTTCAGTCAGTGGGCTGACACTAACCACTGAGCAACCAGGTAGGGCTCTCTTTTTCTAGGATTCCACATATAAAGGAGATCCTACAGTATTTGTTTTTCTTTGTGTGACTTATTTCACTTAGCATAATGCCCTGTAGGTCCATCCATGTTGTTGTAAATGGTAAGATTTTCTCAAATTTTTAAGGCTAAGTGATATTTCATATCATATATGTATGATATATATATCATTTCATATATATAATATTTTAAATATTTCATTATATATATATATACATATCATAACTTTTTGTGTATTTAACAGCCTGTCGACTTGTCTGATGGTGGTTTGGTTTTTGTAGGTGCACAGGTTTCATATTCCAGAAGGTTGGAAAATTGGCTGCAACAGCTGTGGGAGGAGGATTTTTTCTCCTTCAGGTCTGTATGTGAAATATTCCTAGGTGTTTGGAAATTCTGCTTGCCCATTAGGGATGTGGTATGCGGAGCTGTAATGTAACCCTGCCAATATTACACTAGAATAGTCTTTGCACTTGTATACATGTACTATTTGAAATGCCAGCAACCTTTGAGTCAGACTTCATCAATTTACTAGTTGCGTTTTATTTTCTCACTTATGATATGGGGATATAAGTACCTATTTCTCTCTCTCACTCTAACCACGGAAGCACCACCAGCCAGGGCTCTAAATTAAAACCTTTTAGAGAGGGATACGTGTATAAATAAAGTAAAAGAATTTCCAGGAGTCACTGAAGGGCTGTCTATTGAATTCTGGTTCCAGGCATAGGGCCTTGCACATAGGGTGGATGCCAAGTAGATGTTGCGTGAATATCATTGTCATACAAAGTCCTGGATGGCAAATGTCTCAAAAAATGGAGTCAGGAGGGTTTTCGGTAAAGCACTTCAGTGATTTATCCTGACAAAAAGAAATAATGAGCCTATGTTTCCGATTTCTTGCTGTTGTTGAAACTATAGATTGCAAACCACACTGGCTACATCAAAATTGACTGGCAACGAGTAGAGAAGGACATGAAGAAGGCCAAGGAACAGCTGAAGATCCGCAAGAGCAACCACTTACCTACAGAGGTGAAAAGCAAAGCCGAGGAGGTGCGTCTGGTTTTATTTATGTGAAGTGTGTGAAGGGTGCAGACAGTTTTGTGTGTCCAAAAATGGGCTTAGCCATCTATTTGTCAACTTTGGATGGAATAGCTTCACCTCAGACATTTTTAAAAAATATATATTTTTATTGATTTCAGAGAGGAAGGGAGAGAGAGAAAGATAAACATTAATGCTGAGCAAGAATCATTGATTGGCTGCCTCCTACACACCTAAACTGGGGATCGAGCCCACAACCTGGGCATGTGCCCTGACCGGGAGTTGAACCATGACCTCCTTGTTCATGGTGGGTTGATGCTCAACCACTGAGCCACATTGGCTGGGCTCAGGCATTTCTTTTAATCCTCACCCGGGGACATGCTTAGAGAGGGAGAGGAGTGTGGGGGACAGAAATAGAGAGAGAGGGAGGGAGGGAGGGAGGGAGAGAGAGAGAGAGAGAGAGAGAGAGAAAAGAGAGAAACATTCATCAGCTGCCTCTTATATGTGCCCTGACCGGGAAACGAACGCAGTTGTCTTCCATACATGCCGACTGGGAATCGAACCCACAACCTTTCAGTGCATAGGATGACACTCGAGCAACTGAGCCACTCCAGCCAGGCCAGAGTCCTTTTTTTAAAAAGCTGGGCAGTTGAAGTGTTTGGTGACTTGTCAGTGAGTAAGAATGCAAAGTGATATGTGCAAGTACATGAGTCCATCATCTCTTGAACTAGTTCTTACAGGGATGGGGGCAATGCAGCCAGTGAGGAGGATAATAAGGATGCATATGGTACAGCCAATACAATCATTTTTTGTGTCCATGCAAAAAATGGACACATTTTTTTGTCCCCTCCCGGCCTCCGCCACCCCCCGGAACTTGCCCTCACCTCCCCCCCGACCCCCCACAGTGTCTTGCATCTATTGGTTGTGCTTATATGCATGCATGCAGGTATATGAAAACAGTTTTTTTATTGAGTTAAAGATTTTTTTTAATTCAAGAAAAATGATCTTTAATGGCAACCTTTTTTTGTAAACGGCCAATGGTAAATATTTTCAGCTTTGTAAGCCATGTGGTTACAAACACTGAACTCCACTGTGTAGCACGAAAATAACCATAAATGATATTCAGACAAAGTGGTGCAGCTGTGATGTGATGGAACTTGATTTTAAAGCACGCAGCCAGCTGGATTTGACCCATGGGTGTGGTTTGCACAAAACCAGTTTAGGTTATATTGGCTGGCACTGGAGAACAGGAAAAAAATTTTCCTTTTTAAAAGGATGTGTTTTGCTATTGCTTTATTAGCCTGGCTGGTGTGGTTCAGTGGTTGAGGGTCGACCTATGAACCAGGAGGTCACGGTTTGATTCCCAGTCAAGGCACATGCCCGGGTTGTAGGCTGGATCCTCAGTAGGGGGCGTGCAGGAGGCAGCTGATTATTGATTATCTCTCATCATTGATGTTTCTATCTCCCTCTCCCTTCCTCTCTGAAATCAATAAAAATATATTTGAAAAAGAGAAATATGTTAGATGTCCCAAAGTAATAATTACAGTGAACTGTAGAGAAATAAATGGCTGGCACCTTCCATAGCCTGGAGCAATGGAGTTCTGGATTCACAGAGAAAGGGGAAGGATTTACGATTTAGGAGTAAACTGAATTAGGCCTTGTCTGTGAGGCTCTCACACTCTAGTAGCAGTGACAGGAGAAAGTCATGTAATCAAATAGAATAGGTGGTAGTAGGTGAACTTGGGTTAAATGTTGGCAGATTGAACATAGCATTTCTCTGCTTCCTTCTGAAATATACCTAAATGACAGTAATAAAATAAAAGTGGTTAAACCCACAAGGACCAAGGGAACAGGACAGGAATATCAGTAGACAGCAAATGTCTGCAAATTTGGGGGAGTTGGAAAGCACGTAGCTGAGTGGTAAATGACTTAGCAGACTAGAAAAAGGCTGAACACCATTCCGCATAGCCAGGTATATGAAGACAGTTTTTTTTTTTTAATTGAGTTAAAGATTATTTATTTATTTATTTAAAATTTATTTATATATTGTTTAAAGTATTACAAATAGTAGT